TTATATTATATTTGTTCCATCCATAATTAGTGCATCTGAGCATAATCTTCTTTCCAATACATATATTTTATTAACCTAACAAAAAACAAAAAAAACAGTCTTATTATAACAAAAGACTACGCAATCAAAAAGAATGTTAAATATTTTTCTACATTTTAGAAGAAATAAATTTATTCATTGCTAAAGCGGTGCATATTTTTTGCACCGTAAGGTTAACTGCGCGCATATAAATAGTCTCATTATGGTCCATACATATTATTCGACTTTTAAATTATACCTTGCATACTGATTATAGTGAAGTTACTACATAGACTCTTGATTATTAAATAAATAATGAGGAAATTACGAAAAAATGCTGCTGCTCCCGGTGCAACTTTATGGCCACATTAATATGAAATAATTTGACATTGCCCATAAATTGTTTCTTAATATAAATTAGTCAAATTACCATTTAAAAAAGATTAAAAAGAATTTATTTTTTAAATAAGTCTTTTTAAACCGAATTTCTGTTTAAGTAATGGGTTTTGTACGTGGTAGTCACGCTGCAACTATATTATGGTTATAGCACGAATAGATCGACCCGACCGGGGTAGCACCATGCTCTCGTAGAATACCAGAGTAAAATAGCAGCTTAATGCTGTTGTGTTTCGTTTGGTGAGTGTCATGAATGAAATCTGCAGCAACAAGTCGAAGAAATCACCTACAAACTAACATAGATAATTACTGGGTACGGGTTCTTAGATGATATTCTGTGTAAAATATGATGTGTAAGTCCCAAAAGCTCGCAATATATCCAGCGTGGGAATGGGAGCGCACGATCCCGGTGAACCAAATCAGATCATGTCGGTCATGTCGGGTGGGGTTTTGGCGTGGAGGGCCGTAGTCACCTTCTGTGAATCCGTTATGACTCAGAAGAAGGCTGCTGAGCGGAATCGGGAGAAGGCGGATCTCGCTCGGAAACAACGTCGTTAAGGCCTTCGTCACGGCACTCTTGAAAATAGTGTTTCTAGAAACGAGATCTTCAGTGATGCGGACGCTCGGGACGCCCTGAACGCTCAGAGATGTAACCCCGATGTAGGACGATGTTTCGGAAATGGTCCCAAAACATCGTAATAGCACTGCGTGAGTTCTGGGGGCAGAAAGGATTGCCCTCTGGTACGTGCTCAATAAAGCAAAACGAGAGAAGTGCCCCGGTTGCGTAGCGAACGGATATCCCGGGACCCCTCATATACGTATATGGTGACTACCGTGGGGTTTTAGACGATAGGAGTTCGGCATAACCGTTTCGTTGCCTCCACAGCGGAAGGTATTCATGGCGATTTCCCCACGATAAAAAAGGGCCCTTGTAACTGGCCTAAAATGTTTCATTGTACACCAATAAATCATTTTTCACTTTTATTTATTTCATTTTCTCTCCTGTTTTCAGGAATTGAGTATATGAGTGATTCTATGTGTCGATATCTCTCAAACACGGCCCAGTTGAGATAAATCCCCTATTAAGGGTTACTTACCTAGTCCTAGACTACCTTGTAGTATTTGTAAATTTTAAGTGTTCATTTGCGCACGGTGGTGAAGAAATTTGTCGTGTGTTATATAAAAATAATATATTTTAAGATAGACAATGGCTTCCTCTCATTTTTGAAAGGTTTCATCATTATTAGAGCTTTTAGTGTCTTTCTCTTCTAAAGTAGATTTGAGCAAAAAAGAATGTCCTTTTTGCATCCATTCGTTGATCTTGAACCTATCAATTTTTATATAGTACTTTTGAGATCTGCCCTACCAAAATACATACGTCTTTGGAGGAAAGTTAGTCGTTATAATAAATGGATTGAGGAAGGATTATAAAAAAGTCTTTATTTAGAAAATGTTTTGGTGCACTAAACTCCACACAATGTCGTGCGAGGCGAAAAATAGTAATAGTAGCGCACGGCCAGCGCTGGTTTTATGCGAGACCGTAGTCCGTAGTCAAGCCTACACATTTGTGCGACCGCCATAGTATAGCTGAAATATGGCTCTACTACGCAAAATCATTACATATACCTACAAGTACTACAAGTCTACCGCACGTACTTTGTGATTTTTTAACAGTGAGCTTTAAGCCACCCTTACAATTATTATGTAGCTTTTTACCACTTCTTCGGCGGTTCGGCTTGTTAGGTGTAGGTGTTCGTTTTTTGCCATCAAACTGTTCCAGAAAAGTAAGGAATAATTTTTATTCAATAACATAAATTATACGTAAACTTAATTCAAGTAATTTATGATTTTAACACTGGTTTCTAAAAAGTCTCTGTGCTAGAAAGAACCAGCAAGAAACTCTGGATTTTTCTTCAATTATCACTCCTCTCTCCTTTTAGTTTTATTTTTGTTTATAGTGACAGCTTTTGTCTCGTACCTCGAATTCCTGCCGCTCTGCCCGGCCATGTGCCTATAAGTGACATCGCAGTACAAGTACACTTAGGGTAGGTGATAGTACCGTTGGATAATGGGTAATTATTACATTGTATAGCCACATGTGACCGGACATTTTGCTCCAAATACCAAAAAAAATATAACAGAATTTGAAACTCGTTGAAGAAAGGTTCGAGAAAGGCTCTGTATAGTTTTGGGGGCTTTGTTTTAAAATCGTATACCCCCCATGAACGATTTACTGTTTCTTAACTATCGTGTCACTGGTATAAAAAGGCTGTGCTTATTTCTAGTAATTACATAATATTTACTAGAAATAGTAGTGATGTATATATTATAATATCTAAAAAAATATCTTTGTTTTGTGTACGTGTCATTCCCTCAATAGTAAACAAGATAAACCACGAGAAGTTGGCACAAACATTTGCATATTTCACGTACTCGTTAACCCTTTCTTCTTCCATATAGACAATAATAAAATTTTAAATTATCAGAGGGAATCAATTCGTGCAACTTTATTGAATTAAATGCGCTTAGAAAAGTAGATAGAATCTCTAAGCACTTTACGTCAGCAGAGGAACGTTCCCTAACTCATAAAATAAGAGTTGACAAGCTGCTTCACCAACGTTCACGCTTCACCGCGTTGAATGTATAATTTAAACGTTCTAAAGGAGCAAATATTTCACTGTCAATATCTATATTCAATATTTAAGGCTTTACCCCTAGCGAACGACCTTGAGCGTTTGGCCTGCCGACGCTCTCGCTACAATACATCGCGTAGAAATCTGCAAGACGCCACCTACTGGTACGAACGTAGTATTAATTTATCAATGACAATAAACTATTTAATGGAAATAAACAAGGCAGACAATGATATGTGTATTTTAATTTTCTTTTTTCGGTATATTAGTTGCATTATATTAGAATTATGTATTCTCATATATTATCTAATTAATAAAAATGACTATTTTGATTATTTTTAACTATATACTATACTGCTAATATTGAATTAGCTTTTTATAGAGTAAATTATAATATTTGTCGAAATGTTAATTATGGATTCGAACTTTACATGCTAATGGTGCTTTTTTGTTATTTTCATTTACTTACATATTGAGAATATACTTGAATAGTAGGTATTATTATTTTATTTAGCTACTGAATTTTAGGATATGTTTTACCTTGAGGTCAAATATAATTTTGAGGAGCAATAGTTATTACCTACTAATCTCTTATCTGCTATTCCATATTCAGGAACAATATTAGTAAATTGAGTTTGAGGGAGATTTACTGTTTATAATGCTACATTTATTATTTTAATATTTACCTACCTAGTAGGTAATTATTAAAATAATAAATATAGCATTAGTAACTAAATAGATTTTTTTTTAAATTTTTAAAATTAAAATTTTCGTATTTTTAAAAATTACTAAAAAAAAGGGTTTGAAATAATAGATTTTCTCACAAAAGAAGGGAACTTGAAAAAAAAGGAAAAAAAAAGCGGGACCAAAGCCAAGACGCGAACCACGAAACTCCGATATCACGCCCGACCGACATACCACTTGAGCTATAACGACCGTTAGTGATTTGTCGAAATTTACCTTCTTATATTGTAGCAGTTTTTTTTATTGCCTAAAAACATGGACAAAAGGATATTTTCTAAAAAATCCAAGCGTTCGTCGCTAAAATCGTTGGAGCCGTATAATTTTCTCATCTGGTTCGGTTCTATAAATATTTAAATATATAAAATTTATAAATTAAAATGAAAAGATAAATATACATAAATATCAATAAAATAAAATAAATACAAAATAATATTATATTATTACTGTTATTATTATTATTATAAGTTGTGGTTCGGTGAAGCTGCAACCTAATGGACCATGATCTGAAATTTTTATGAAAAGAAGTGGCTGACGTCAATTATTATTATTCTTATTATTTTTTCATTACTGCCTTTTTCAACCTCACAAGATATTTGTAACTGCAAAAAAGAAAACTACGTATAAGTAAGTAAATCAGTAATATAGTGTTATGTATGATTCAGACTAAATAAAGGTTCCTAAAAATAGACGTAGATAAAGAAATTGCTAAAAAAATTACTCAAATAAAAATGCAATAAACTTGGTTAATTTTATAGGTACTTAGTAAAATATTAAAATAATAAGTTTTTTAGGATATTTATTTTGTGAAACATATAAAACCGCGGAATTTCACTAGTTTAATTATCAAAATAATAATTGACTCTAAGTTTGCCTTGATTTTATCAACTTATATATTTGTGTATTTTTTGTATTTATTTTTTTTATTAATATTTATGTATATTTATCTTTTCATTTTAATTTATAGTTATATATTTATAAAAACCAACCAGATGAGAAAACTATACAGATACCCCAACAATAATAATATAATAATAATAATATTCCACCAGAAGGCTTGGTGTCGGCTGGGTCTTCTCGGACTCAGCAAGCGGCACCCGCCGCTGGTGGAGCACGTCGCATGCGTTGGTCACAAGAAATGAATGCAAACGCACTGCGGGCGTACTTTAGGCAAAAGGGGAAGAAACTGGATGTTTGGCGTATCGGGCTAGGATGCATCGTCTTTTTGCTGAGCTGGAGCCATCTTTAATCGTCACAGAGCAAAACCTGGCAGACCGAGTTCGGTATATCTTGCGCTCAAATATATTTGATGTCGCCGAACTCGAACGGCTACGACGTGAGGCTGTTCCCTCGTCGGATGAGAATGCTACGGCTGAGGATGCGGCGCCACAAATGGTAGAGCAACCCGCAAACGTGGATGCCGCCGTGAATACCCCAGTTGTGGTTGATTCAAACGATGATGGAACAGTCGCCCAGGAACTGGAATTAGAGCATATGAGGAGTATATTGGAAGAGGCGATTGTGAAACGCGCAGTACGCCTCTCGAAAATCGACCGCGACTTCCCCCGCATAGCCCTAAGCAAGCGGAATCGGGCTGTCGTGAGGGCTCTGAACCCAATGCTGGTTACCTATTTGGAAGCCAGCCGGGACCTTTGCGAGACGGACTCAATTCTTTTTGGCGCCGCGCTGGCAGTCTGCCGTATCATAGGCGCCGAGGTTTCCACGGATGGACGCGCTACTGGCCATAGTAGCGCTATCCCAGCATGGAGAAGAAGAATTGAGGAACGTATCGCAAAGGCTAGAGCTCTCATCGGCAGACTGATATGCTTCAGATCAGGCAACAACAGGCCAAGAATTGTGCGCACCGTCAGGATGGCGTTTGCTGGGACAAATGTCAGTTTGTCCCAGCCGGATATAACGCAAAAACTGACGGAGCGCATAGATGATCTGAAGCAGAGAATCGCTGCTTGGGGAAAGCGGATTCGGCGATATACCGAGAGGTCGACACGGTTCAACCAGAATCGTCTCTTCCAGAGTGATCAGAAGAGGCTCTATGAATCATTGGAGCGACCAATGGTAAGTGGAACGGGTCCAGCACCGGATCAGGCCGACACTGTAGCATTCTGGCGCGGCCTGTGGTCAGAGCCCGTAAACCACAGCGAGGGCCCTTGGACGGAAGTTGTGGCGAGTCAGTGTGCGGGTATTACGCCCATGGACCCCGTCATCATAACGCCGGATGACGTAGCTGAGGCGGTTCGTAGGGCCCCGAACTGGAAAAGTCTGGGGCTTGACGGGCTGCATCACTACTGGCTGAAGGGGTTCATGGTGTGTCACTCTGTGCTCGCCCGACAGTTTCAAGAGGCTCTCAACCAGAAGTCGCTTCCAAGCCTCTTCACTACTGGGATCACTCATTTAGTTCCTAAAGACCAGGGTACCACAGACCCGAGCAAATACCGCCCCATCACGTGTCTACCGACCATATACAAGACACTAACATCCATTTTGAGCGCGAGAATCACTTGTCACCTGGACTCAAATCAGGTGATGTCGCGCGCTCAAAATGGATGTCGGGGCGGTGGTCGTGGAACCAAGGAACCACTCCTCATTGACGCGGTCATTGGCAAAGTGGTGAAACGCAACCGTCGGAACTTCTCCGCCGCCTGGATAGACTACAGAAAGGCATTCGACTCGGTGCCCCATACATGGCTAAAGAGAGTCCTCGAGCTGTACAAGATAGACTGTACAGTTAGAGACTTCCTCGAGCAGTGTATGGGGCAGTGGAGTACGATCCTTTGTCATCTAGGCGAGCGGATGATGGCTGCGGAGAACCACATAAGGATAAGAAGGGGGTATCTTCCAGGGCGATTGTCTGAGTCCAATCTGGTTCTGCCTCTCTCTGAACCCTCTCAGTACCTTACTGGAGGGCTCCGGGAGGGGATTTCAGCTACGGAAAGGAGGGACAAAAGTGACCCACCTTTTCTATATGGATGACCTCAAGTTATTCGCCTCCAGTCGCTCCCATCTTATGGAATTGTTAAACATCACTTGTGAATTTAGCAATTCTATTGGAATGGAGCTGGGAACGGATAAGTGTGCGGTCCTCCATGTTGAAAGGGGACGGGTTGCTAACTCTGAGGGCGTAGACTTATCTATGCCCGTCAACTTAAGGACCCTTTCCGAGGCTGAAACATACCGATACCTGGGTATGTCACAAAACATCGGTATCGATGAGACTGGTATGAAACAGTCAGTTTGCGACGTGTTTTATGCACGCTTGACCAAAGTGCTTAACAGCCTTTTGTCCGGTGTGAATAAGGCACACGCATATAACGGCTGGATCATGCCTGTCCTCATGTATACCTTTGGCATACTCAGGTGGACTCAGACTGAACTTAACGCCCTGGATAGAAAAGTCCGCACTACAATGACGTCCCATAGGATGCATCATCCGAGATCGTCGGTAATGAGGCTGTACTTGCCGCGGAAGCATGGTGGTCGTGGCTTCTTGAGCGCGCTCACCATGCATAATCGCGAAGTGTGCAGCCTCCGTGATTACTTCCTGGCGAGATCGGATGATCCATTCTATAAGGACGTCATTTCTTGTGATAAAGGACTTACCCCCTCTATCCTTAGCCAACGAGCAATGGCAAGACCCGGCAGTGCAGAGCATTTCCGACCGGGAGACCGTATGGAAGGAGAAGGAGCTCCACGGGAGGTTCTACAAGGCTCTACATGAGCCTTTCGTAGACACAGTAGCCTCCCTCCACTGGCTACGCTTTGGTGATCTCTTCGGGGAAACCGAGGGTTTTGTCTGTGCAATACAGGATCAGGTTATTAAGACCAACAACTATCGGAGATACATCCTAAAGGATGGCACCGTCGACATCTGTCGAGCTTGTCGCCATCCCGGTGAGTCACTTAGGCATGTTATCTCCGGTTGTTCGGCGCTTTCTAACTCTGAGTACTTGCACAGGCACAACCTAGTAGCCAGAATTCTACACCAGGAGCTCGCTCTGAAATACGGTCTCGTGGATCGGAAATTGCCGTATTACAAGTACTTGCCGGAAGCCGTGCTCGAAAATGATCGCGCCAGGCTCTATTGGGACCGTGCCATCATCACAGACAGGACTATTCTTGCGAATAAGCCTGATATTGTGCTGATGGACCGGGCACAGTCAAGGATATTTTTGGTCGACATTACCATTCCGTATGACGAGAACCTCGTGAAAGCCGAAACAGACAAGCAAACAAAATATCTGGACCTGGCTCACGAGGTGACCGACATGTGGGGTGGTCTGCCGACCGAAATTATTCCTGTAGTCGTCTCTGCAAACGGGCTAATCCCAGTCAGCCTCTCGGGTCATCTGAGGCGGCTGGGACTACGTGGCGGACCGCTCCAGGTTCAAATGCAGAAGGCGGTGCTCCTCGATACCGCCCGCATCGTCCGCCGGTTTCTTTCCCTTTCCCCCTAACCCTCGGCCGTTTGGTCTCCCCTGCCGAGGGCCTCCATCTGGTTGGGCTTTTATTTATTTATGTACTTTTATATTTATTTTATGTTATTGATATTTATGTATATTTGTCTTTTCATTTTCATTTATAATTATATATTTATAGCACCCAACCAGATGAGAAAACTATATAGATACCCCAAAATAATATTCCACAACTATCACACAACGCCATCTAGTCCCAAGCTAAGCAGAGCTTGTGTTATGGGTACTAGACAACTGATAAACATACTTATATATTTCTAAATACATAAATATTATAGATAAATTACACCCAGACACAGAACAAATGATCGTGCTCATCACACAAACATTTGTCCTGGTTGGGAATCGAACCCACGACCTGCGGCATAGCAGTCAGGGTCACTAACCACTAGACCAACAGGCCTTACGATAAATAAAATAGTCTCTAGCTCGAGAGGAGAGGAGCCGTGGTAGCTCAGATGGTTAGCGCTTGCTAAAATTTTCACAGTGTGCGAGCAAACCGGGTTCGATCCCCGCCGGCACCAATAATATTGTAATTGCAATTTTAAGTGTTGATTTACCACGTGCTCAGTGATGAAGGAAAACATTGTGAGGAAACCTGCATGTCTGAGATATAAGAAAAAAATATTTCGAAGACATGCAAAGTTCGCCAACACGCAGTGGGGCAGCGCGGTGGATAATTCCTTTCCTAGGACCCTTTCAGAAAATAGAATAGAAATAAAAAAATAATAAATCCAAACTTCATTTAAAACCAAACATATAAATTGTAAAGTAGCTGCAGGTATCTATAACCGAGTAAAAGATATTCCTTCACTCCAACTTGTCCATGTTTCCCAAAACAATTTTTAATTAAGCTTTATATAATGCGGATTTTTTTATATTTAAAATTTTAATAATAAAGCATTTCGTACGTCTCAGCCGAGGCGCAAATATTTTTCGGCCGCAAATTTATAAGACCGATTTGTTATTCAAACATAAACATGGTTTTTTAATTAAATCTACCAATCATAAAACGACACGCATTTTTATTGAACACTTCCTATTCAATTCACAAAGTACCTATTATATATTTGTTTAAATAAAAAAGTATATTTAAGTACAATCATAAAACTAAATGGAAACACAAAGTAGGAAAATTCATTGAGTTATAAAACACATAAATCAATGGGCAAATGTAAAAATGCTGGAGGCAGACAGCCCTATGCATGTTTACGTACCGCACGGCTGTAAGATTTATTTCTAAGATACGGCCGAGTTACAATATACCGTGACGTAAGCGCATCGGTTGGTAGGTACTCAAATAATATTACGTTTGCGGCGAAATACGGACGCCGCGACCAGCGACTCGGCCACCTCGTGCAAACGCATACAGCGTAATGCCGCCCGCATTCTGCGCACGCCCCTTTATCATAGAAGTCACACAATTTTCGGAATTATTTCAATTAAAAGAGAAAAAACGAACTTAAAAATTTAAATAAAACGTGGAGAATATAGATTTTTTTCATTATCTATCCATTAGTGTTATCCTCAAATGATTAGAGCGTTGCGTTTAGCAACAGATGCATGTAATGAAGAATTTTAGTCATTTTTTAAAAAGTTGATTTTAAATGTATTTATAGCACATAAAAATAAATTAGAACGTGGAATGCGATGATAAGATATCGAACATTAACAATGTACTTTTAGATGTAGTTTATTTTTCATAACTAATGAGATAATAGAGTCTGAAAAACGCACTTTTGCCAGGTTTTGGTCAGGGCAGCGCCTTAATGAAATGAACATGCTACAAAGAACTAAAAATAGAGCTTTCTGACATTAAAACATAAGTTAATTGCGAGAAATAAAATCAAACAGTGCCATTTGTCGGACGGCGGATTGTACTACATACATTAGCTATTTATTCAATTAGACTTGATTTTTGTGTGTTTTGCTATATATTTTATTGTAAACCATGTTTTGATTAACTATGGAAAGATTTCTTTAATTTTTGATGAAAATTGGCCTTTTAGTACTAAACTAAAAGTGGATATCTATTGAGTTTAAAGTCACGGTTTCTTATAGGACAGGGAGAGGAAACTCATGTTGAATATTCTTATCTATTATGTATTACATATAAATAAAATTGAAATACTTGTATGTAATATCGAAATAACTGCCTTCTTTTAAGCTCAGAGGGTTGCTTGCATGCTATTATGGCATGAATAACCATTTGTAAAATTTTGTATGTCTGTCTCTTGGTTCAGGATAATATTCAGAATAACTGATGAACTTTTGATGAAACTTCACACACAGATAGAGAGCAATCAGCTTTAAATAATTAGCCAGGAATGATCGTACTTCATATCGTTCCTCAGTTTTAGGCGAAAAACTTGGAGAACTTTAAACTTGTAAAAAAAAAAAAATTGGTAAAATAAATGGTTGTTGATAAATATTTTAAAAATCAAAATAGTGCCACATTGATAGATAATACATAGGTAAACCAAGGCGGGCCGCTTGTTGTGAAAATCTACTGTATTATAATAATTTACAACATCATTCATTCATTCATAACGTAGGTCCCATAGATTGCCCCATTAAATTGCCTTCATTGGCATGCTTCTCAGGCGGATTGACAACTACTGGTTTTTTCTTTTCTACTTTTTATAAGGAAGACACCGCTGTCCATCTCCGTATTTATTTCCCTTTGTTGCCTCTTACGACACTCGCGTGACGACATGAGGAAGTGGATATTCTTACACCGCCACTACACGATAAAAGTTATTATAGAATTAATGATTTCTTATATTTACGCGAACACTATACATGATTAAAACTACTTTTACGGATTTTATCGCGTTTATTTTTACTTTTTATGTATTTTTATTTTTATTTTATTTTTTTTTTAATTCCCGACGTTTCGGGCGCTTTCCAGCACCCATGGTCACGGGGGACTGAGATGACTGACGTCCCGATGTAATTGTTAAACCCGGAGTACCTTCAGCTTTTTTAATTATTGTTTATGGTCCGATCTATGCAAAATGAACTGACTATGTCCTGAGGTCTTGCAGTGGTATGCTTGGGTTTAGTTTTAATTTTATTGATTATAGGATCCCAAGCAGGTGGTAGTACCCAGCCTCCTTCTCTATTGAAATTAGGATGTTTTTTAATTTCAATAGCCTCACGTATCATCCTTGGTAGGAATCGGTGTTCTTTCGCGAGGATTTGTGGTCTATCAAATCTGATGTAATGGTTGGGTCCGTCTATAATATGATCACAAACTGCAGACTTCCCGGAACAAAAATAAAAGTAAATAAAAAGTAAAAATAAACGCGATAAAATCCGTAAAAGTAGTTTTAATCATTATTATAGAATTATTAACGTAATAAATAATAAATTCATTATATGAATATTCTAAGCGACACCACTTTAAACATAATATTTCATTCTAGCGTGCAAGGAAAGTCATTTTGAGGTTAATTTTCGAAAACGTGATTACAAAAGAACTACTAGAAACTATTTGCATTTAACATTAGACATTCGTCCGAGAATACATTTTATAGTATGTATTTTAGTTTGAATATTTTCTCTAAATAAGCAACGTTAACGAAGCTCGTTTGAAGATATTGTATTAATTTAAATATAATTATATGTTAAATAATTAATCAAGAAATTATTAAAATAGGGTTCACAACAAGGTACACGGGCCATCTTCTGGAAAGTAAATGCTATAGTCCACTCTCAATCAATTCCTAATAAAGTGTAGGTGTATCTCACCACCTACCCTATATTGAAAATTCAAATACAGATTTGTTGTCACCCCTAAGTACTAAGATGGAAAGCGTCGTTATTACCAAAAAATTTCTCAGTTTTTCTTCATACAACATATTTTGTTATTTTATTTTATAGGATAGGGTGACAAACGAGCACACATTCCACCTGATGGTAAGTGGATGCTGTGGCCAATAAAAATCTACATTTATCCTCGATTACGAGTCAAAATGCAGATGCGATTTCACCCGTGAGGTCTAAGATGAAATGCCTCGCTTCCAGTAAAGGTGGTCTCCTGTTCTCTATATTCACCGTACGAAACACAGCAGCACCATGTTACTATTTATTGTTGGTATTTGATGCGATTGTGGTTTTTCCCCGGTCGAGACTACTCGTCCTGTAGCCAAAATACGCTGCAACATACCTCTACCACGTACACGCAGCTTACCTTCAATCTTTTATAATTAGCGTTACATCTGGCACGGTTGTTGACGAATAATTGCCGCTGTTTGCGAGTGCCCTGTGGAATTTTGTTACTTCCCAAATAGCTGACAGCTTAATATTGACAAGAAGAACATCATTCTTATCATTAATCATCATCATCAGACCGTTAAAGCTTATTGCTGAACATAAGCTTCTCCCGATATAGGGAGAATTTATTTGTCACGCTTGGAAGGTGAAAAGTGCCTTTGCCAATCCTAAATGACGGCAGTCTGGGTATTTTACGAGTACATCTGGTATTAATGAAATGGTTATAGCACCATCCATTCAAAGTTAGAAAGTGTCGCCAGCAACGCAAAGTCAGGAATTTGCATTTAAAAATGCTAAAATTAGATGCTTTTTTAGACGCTAATTAGGTGCCAGGTTTAAAAATTATAGGTCCTCCAAAATGTTAAAATTTGCGTAAAGAAATGTTGAAATTTGCGTTACTGGCTAGCGACGCAGTGACGATAAAAATATACGATAAAAATTAATAGTAAGCAGTTAAGTGGCAATGGCAAGACGCCCCTAGCAAAAATAAAGTGGTTATTTTGAATAAAGCAGATACAAATATCAAGTCTACGGAAAATCTGAATAGAATCAATATCAGGTATAAAACTAAAGTGCTAATTAAGTGCTTTCAAAAACACAACTCACTTTTTTACACAGGCATATTGACACAATTGCTTCTGCAACAGCTACGGTGCTGCGGGAAGTGCAGCCTCTACACCTTTGCGTATCAAAACACAGGCACCTATGCTCACCTCCGCAGCTTTGGCTTATTGGTTGCCTTCGGCGACCAGCCTCAGCCGCGACGAATCGAACAGATGTCTACGATTTGCTAAAGCGGGCAGGGGCTGCTATTTCTCCTCGCCTACGGCCTTACAAAAACAGTCTAGGGGTAGACAAGACTTTTAAATTTTAGTTTTATTTTAGTTTAAATTTTAGTGGCAAGACAAATGAAAATACTTTTCACTTAAACTAGTACAGACAAATAAAATCTTTATAAAGCATCTTGAATAACTGAGAGAAATTTTTGACGACTCCGTGGCGCAGTGGCTTAGCAATGAGTGGCTCCGATGCGGGTCGCGGGTTCGAATCTCGCACGGAACAATTATTTGTATGGCCTACAAATAGTTGTTCCGGGTCTGGATGTTTGTCCTTGTGCAATTTATGTTTGTAAACTGCCCCTACGATACAAGAGAAAATCTTAGTGTAGGGGTAACGTTTAAAAAAATTGTTACAGCGATGCGGTTCTTTAAGGGATTTTTTCAATGTGCAACTTACTCGTACTTTAATTTTTGCTAACTAATTCGCTTCGAAGCGCGCTTTGAAGGAGCGCTTTGTTGGAAAAATATGATTATGTGACTATAACATTTTCTTACAATATCACTCATTATGACTTGTTGGTGGTCTAACCTAATTGTGTATTTGCTGTGTGTATGAAAGAATAGATCTATCTCATTCTAATCGGCATTGTAACTTAGCCCAACGTAAAAATATTTTGAAAATCTTTATCTTAAAATAATGTCGTTTTGGTTTTATGTCCCCCTTTTCTGTAAAGAGAATTTTAATACAAAATTAAACAAACGAAATATTCTAGCTAAATATTAGTACGCATTAATTATCTTAATTCGGTTTTTATAACTCTAAACTGAATAAAAAAGAAAAAAAAACGATGAATAAACGAATGTAGGTAGAATGTAGGTCGAATGCCAAGTCAATTCGATTGTTGACTTCGATTAGTTTTTATTTAAATGAATGGTGCTGGACACGATGGAATCAGCAGAGATAAAATGGAATGCCACCTTGAAGCAGGTCGTTTAATTTGTGTATTTTCATATTAAGTACTGGTATATCGATTTGTCTATGTATTTAGTTATGTATCCACCACCTTTTCGCCACGTCATGTGTTAAACTAATGCAATGATATATATATATATATATATATATATATATATATATATATATAATATATATATATCATAATTAAATAATGCGACCATTTATAGTGATAAGATAATTCAATTTTACGAAAATTATATATTAAAATAACAGTTATAAATAATTCAAAAATATTTCACAATTACAAAATTTAGCTTTAGCTAAAGCTTGGTAAATTAAAATAGATAAAAGTACGGTACAGCTTTGTTCCCGCTGCCCGACTAACATAATATGCCACAGGAACAAAAAAGAACCGCTGCTAGAATTCACTTTAATTAAATCAGTAACCCTCTTCTAATTAACTCTCTGTGCTCTGTATGCTTTGTAAAATAATAAATTTATATATATATATATATATATATATATATATATATATATATATATATAGTAATATTGACAAAGTTATATAATTTTAACCAAAATATAAATTCAAACCAAAATTTTCAAAAGTGTTTACACTAAAATTTCTATGAGCAACACGAAGACAAACTTGTCTTTAAGTTGCTTGTCTTGAATGAGCTATGTATGAATAGATTGTGTAGTGCTCCAAGCACCATCATAAGTCAACTTTCATTACTTACGATGGAAGGATCCTCAAATATTTTCTATCGAATATATAGATAAAATAATCAAAAATTTTTATACATAAAACATTAAACCCATTAATTTTTGTTACAGTGTTATGATGACAGTAAATATTTCTGTAACGTAGAGGTACTTCAACTGGTGATAAGGAATTCCATATTACCTATCAACCGTTAATTTTATAATTGTAAATCGTCCTGCAAATCGCGACTATTAAGGCAAATTATCTTTACAGTGAAAGAGGCCCTAGTACCGTCGGCGGCTTCTTGTTGGAATAATTTTCCAACTTTTTTCTTTCCATTCGATCACTATCTGGGTGCCTTAAAGGCAAGAGTGAATAGGCTTTTTCAATTTGTACCTAAATTAGGTATTAGATTTAAAACATTAAAAATGTTACAAAAGACAAAAAATCGTTACATTAGTATCTTAAATAATTAATTGATCAAAACTATATTTACGGATTTTATCGCGTTTAATTTATATGATTTTTAATTCCCAACGTTTCGGGTGCTTTCCAACAACTTACAACAAACAGCGACCTGTCCAATTTGATAGAACTTTACTTTATCCGAAAAAAAAAAAACATTAATATATCATATCTAGGCCACTGACCTATATATTACTAGCGTAAGGACCGGGCCGACCAAGCAACTAAATCGGACCTAAAATGACAGTTTAGGGCCAACGCAACTCGCTCGGCAGTGGTAAGCGCGCATTTTTTTTTTTTTTTGCGCCCGAAGCAAATATGGGCAACCCTCCGGAAAGCGGGGGAGGGAGGTTGAGAATGCTCATAGCATACCACGCAGCCGGCTGCGTGGTTATGTGGAGACTTTTACCCACTAAACTCAACCTTTTGGTAATTGGCTTAACGATCTGACTAGAGATCTCTAAGCCGTATACGAACGCGACCCTCCTTGGCAGAAAGGAGGGCGCAAGCGGCGAAAAGCCGCTTAGAAAAGTGCCTAACTAAGGCAGATTAATGGATGTGTTATGTAGGCTCGGCCCGAGCCGCCAGGAGGCAGTTCAGGTCAGCCGAAAGCTTGTTGGGGGGTCCGAGAGAGAGTTTCTCGGTCTGCGCACACTATAGCGAGTGTGGATAGGGGCTGCATAGGCAGCTGTCTCACGAATGAGATGATTTGGGTGGGACTCTGAGGCTTTGAAAAATCTCTCAGAGAGTGATTTGAGGAACTGCTGGATTGTTGGGAGCTCTGTCTCGATGTAGGTCGGCATTACGGACATAATAGGGCGAGTTAGTGGCCCTACGACAGAATAGATTAAGCGCGCAGGACAAAGCCTGTCATAAATACGCCTAGTTGCGTGGCAAAAGGATGTAAAAATTACGATACAAAGATTAAAAAGACATTGGATATCGTTTCATCGGTAAATAACCTTACATTAATTTTGTTGCAATTAAATTATTATATAAACGCATTTTTTAAAGTTTTATTTTACAGTTAGTCAGTTTAGTTACGTTACCAAAATAAGCTTAGGTTGGATTCAGATCCTCAAAAATATTGTACATAAAAATAAAACTGTAGTTTTATTTTCTATTTGTAAAAAATTATATCACCTTTGACGTTTCATGTTTCTTTTTTCCCATGTGCCGGGATTTTGGCGTCACGTGTCTAGTTTATCTATATTTTAAGTTTCGGTTTTGACGGTTTTGTTTTTATTTCTGTTTTACTTTTGTCTTAAAAACTTAGTGAAAATAAAATTTTTGAATATTGATACCTAACATATTTTATATTCAATAATGGTAAAACGAAAAGACTACAAAATAAACGATACTTACTTAAACTGAAAATCTGATTCATAAAATATTTTGAAATTCTGTTCAAACCGATTGCTTTTGGAGCATAGAGTTTTTATCGTGGCAGCCCCACATTGTAGTTGTATCAAGGATGTAATTTGATTGAGCACCAAAGACATCGTAAATTATATAAATGGAGTTTATAAACATCTTAGTCGAGCACCGATTGATCAGAAAGGGCGCTAGTGCTAATTTTATTATTTTTCAAACGCGGCACTTATTTACAATATAGAAATACTTGATATCGTACGGTTAAAATTAAAAATTAAAAAGACCTAATAATAATACAAGTCGGTCGAACTTAAGGTAAAATTCTGGTATTTTCGCTTGGTATTATTACGATACAACATATTACACACTATGGAAATAATAGTACAAATAGGATAATTATACTACGAAATCCGACCCTGGTTATGTCGTGTTATGACGTTTGCATTATGAGTTATGACAGATGCGCTACTTTTTCTTGTATGAAGTTATGAGTAATATATTTAGATGGGCGTATCCTTCCTTTTGAAATTATTGATGTAGGCGAAGCCAATGCGGATCGCTAGTGTACAAAAATTATTTAATTGTAAAATAAAAATACATACATATTTTTAATTTATTTACGTCATTTGAGCGAAGTCTAAAGTTAACTACTATTAGGTAGGACCATCAGTTGAATTTTTAGTCTATTCATTACACTGCTTTGAAAAAAAAAATACTAAAAAAAGTCTATTTAGTACTGGATAACACTTACCGCTTTTACGCTGGTATTCTGTGAGAGCGTGGTCCTTCCCCGTGAGCCGACACATTGGTACTACGACCACAATACAGCTGCAACATGTAATTATATTTTTTTTAATAATCACCACCATATCCCAAGTTATAGGGTTTCTATTCTGCTACCTTATTTACTATTTCTACCAAAATATTTGTGCCTCCACTGTTGTGTGTCAATGTGAAGCGTACAATAAACCAAGATAATTACACATTGAAATAATACTAGTTTTTACGGAATTTATCGCGTATATTTAACTTTTTTAACTTTTTAAATACCCAACGTTTCGATCGCTTTACAGCACACATGGTCACGGGCAGAACTGAGATGTTCAACGTCCATATGTCATAGTTAACTGCGGTTACCATAGATTAAAATTTTAACTTTTGTTCCGATCTATGCAGTATGAACTTATGGTATCTTGAAGTCTTGCAGTTGTATGCTTGGGTTGGGATTTAATTTTATTTATTATAGGATCCCAAGCAGATGGTAGCACCCAGCCATCTTCTCTATTGAAATTAGGATGTTTCTTTGATTTCAATAGCCTCGCGAATCATCCTTGGAAGGAATCGGTGTTCTTTAGCGGGGATCTGCGGTCTATCAAATCTGATGTAGTGACGGGGGCGATCCTGTACGTGTTCACAGACTGCAGACTTCCCGGAGCGTCGATTCTTCACATCAGCTATATGTTCTTTAACGCGGGTTTTTATTGATCTTTTAGTTTGTCCTATGTAGGAGAGACCACATTCACAATCAAGCTTGTACACTCCTGCATCTTGCAGAGGGACATTACACTTGACCGATGGTAAAAACTGACCAATCTTCTTCAGCGGCTTGAAGTATGTTTTGATGGAAGCGCGCTTCAAGATGTAGCCAATCTTGTCAGTGACTCCTCTAACATATGGCAGTACAGCAGGTACACGCTCGACCGTGGCCAGCTTCACTCGTTCACTGTGACGTAGGCGCGGGACTCGAAGCTTGTTGTCATGCAAAACTTGCTTGACATGGTGGAGCTCTGCAGCCAGGTGTTTACTGTCACAGATCCCTCGTGCTCTCTGAAACAAAGATTTACCCACGGTAGCTAACTGTGAAGGATGGTGGTGAGAATCACCGTTTAAATATCTATCTGTATGGGTCTTTTTTCTATACACATTATGGCTCAAGGTGTTATCAGGATTCCGAATTACTAACACATCTAGAAAAGCTAAGGAATTGTTTGCCTCTAACTCCATTGTGAACTGAATTTTAGAATTTATAGAGTTAAGATGGTCTAAAAATGCAGTTATTTTATCTAAAGGTAGAATTGTGAAAGTGTCGTCTACGTACCGCTTGTAGAACCTTGGATTTATGGGAGAACTAAGCAGGGCTTTCTCCTCAAAGTCTTCCATGAATATGTCGGCGACAATGGGAGATACAGGTGAGCCCATCGCCACACCATCTACTTGCTTGTAGAACTCCTCCTTCCACAATAGGTAGCCAGATGTAAGGCAGTGTCTGAGTAATACTGCATATTCTACGGGCATGTTGTTTTCTTCCAGCCTTCTAGTTACAATTGAGATGCAGTCTTCAACAGGTAAGCATGTAAACAATGACTGCACATCAAAACTGACCATAGTTTCATTGTCTGCCAGATGTAGGTCTTTAATCTCGCTGACAAAATGGTAGGAATCCTTTATGTGTGCTCTTGTATGTCCCCTGAGTGGTGAGAGTATTTTCGCTAAGTGTTGAGCCAATCTGTAAGTTGGTGAATCGATTTGGCTCACTATGGGACGTAATGGAGCATTGGGCTTGTGTATTTTTGGTAACCCATATAATTTTGGTGATTTGGCGCACGTAGGTATTATCCATTTTACGTCCAGATTTAATTTTTCGGAGTGTTTCTTTATGAGGTCACTAGTTGTTTTTAGTGTGCTATTTGTTGGATCGTTTTTAACCTTTTTATAAGTACTTACATCCGACAAAAGTTCTTGTATTTTAGAATTATAATCTGACGTATCCATGACTACCGTTGCGTTTCCCTTATCTGCGCGGAGAATCGTAAGTTCGTGTTTATTGCGTAGGTAAACGCTCCGATCTATATGACATAAACAAATCCATAGACACATCATCCAGTGAATTGAAGAAAGTTTTAACGACTTTTGACTATAATTTTTGTATGGAAACATTAAATAAACGTGAAATTAGTAAATGTAATGAATGCAAAAACAAACATACAGAAAAATATCAAAAATTAACGAACAAGTCAAATGTCAAACATCTGAATCAATGCCAGAACCGAAAGCAACCATTGACAAACACAGATCATAGATTACCCTGTAAAGTCGAGCAAGCTACACATGTGTATCAGACATAAACATCTTTCGCGCTCTATAATCTGTCAAAACAAACACTGGATGATGCAACAATTAGGGTTTTATCCAAAGGCCACAACTTTGCAATTAAACCCCGCAAATGACCGTACGAAGAAATTATCTGTAGTGTCGAGGACTGTTTATTTAAAAACAATATGCGGAAAGAAGATTTGGAGGCGATACGTCAAGACATCTCGTCTATGTTACGTCGATGTTCAGTGCCTAAACCGAATCTTCCCAAAAGACGAATTTA